ATGAGAAATAGTTAGTTTACCATTGAGGGAGGCCGTGGCGGGCCTTAATGATCCCTGTGGTTCTGAGGGAGGCCTTCACGGGCCTTAATGATCCCCTGGAGTGTGCCTTAGCGGATTTAAGCCCAGGGTCTTTATGACTACTAGACGCTTAGTTACAGTTTCAGTTCAATTAGTTCAGCACTTATATACTCAAGTCATGATATATTTATTAATGTTGTTTAATTCAGTACTAGTCTTTGCGGAGCATAGTGGTCTTGCTCACGCCCCTACTATTTTTGTTAGGTGACGGATTCCCGCGTGACGCGTGAGCATTTGTGGTGGCCGTGATGAGCAGTAGATCTTTGTCACGCATTTCCACGTATAAATGAACATTTAATATTTATTATGCGTGTATTTACTATATTTAACTTCTGCTTATTCAGAACTAGTATGTTAATATGAGACTCTATACTTATGCATGTATAATACCTCTATCTCCGTGGTGCTTTTATCTAACGGATTTGATTAGGTTGCATGTATTTATTATGTCTGCAGGAGAAAGAGATAAAAAAAATAGTTTTAATAACATCCCACGAGTCAGTATGAGCATTTTCGAATATAAAAGTTAAGAGTTTTCAAAAATAAAAAGAAAAATTTTAACTAAATCATTTTTATAATTCTAGAATTAGAAGGCAAGGTGTTACAAATTTGATCTAAAAATTTAAATTAGTATTCTATATAGCTATGATAGTAGCTTCACTATGCAAATTTGTTTTGGCTTTCTGTTTCCATTTCTCTACTTTTGTTGATATCAGTGGTTAAGTTTGTAATGAGTATTTAATCAGTTACTTTTCTATTGATAATCATGAAAATTGATTTTTTTATGAAATTAGCATGAGTGATGAGTTTTACTTTGATGAATGAATACAAATATTAATGTTTAATTTGGACATGTTTGTGCACTCTACTTCTAATATTATAATTATTTGTGATTACACTCTGAAGATGTTTGTAGATGTTTGTTTGGTTTATTTTAAAATATTGAATGTTATCTATACTGTAAGTTCCACGTCAAATTTATAATGAAATTGTTTCAGATGCCATGGAACTGTCATAGCGTATTTGAAGGTTGATGGAGGTTTTTTAATTGCTAGTGATTCAAGGAGAGGTTATTAGTTACTAGATAAATACATTGTTGGTAAGTTCACTGTTAACATCATGGTTGCTTTTTTTTGCTCAATGTGGCTTTTGTGTTTGTTTAATCTTTTTCTCTGCTCATTTTAATTTTTTTCTCTGCTCAATTTATTTTGTCAGTCCATGACGACATTCAGAAAATAAGACAGATTCCGAGGACAAAGATATATGTGGCAGGTTGTGGATCATCTGACGAAATTGAAGCTGTCCATAATCTTTTGGCAGAGAATGCTCACGTAAGAATGTTGTGTTTTTTAATGAATTTTTGTATTTGTAATTATCTCTAGATTTTAGGTCTTTTTTTATTTAAAATATATTGTGGTTTTTTTTTTT